GCTCCCTCCCTCCCTCCCGCTCGCCCCCGGGGGCAGGGCCGGCCCGGGGAGGGAGGGCAATTGGGCAATTGCAGGGTTTTCATGAGACAGGAAAACAAAACTGAAACTGGAAACTTTCCCCAGTTGAGAATTATTTCCGGGCGTTTGCTGGGGCTGCCTTTAAATAGGGAAAGGTTCTGCAGCGGGCTCGGGCAGCCCCGGGAGCAGGGAATCCTCTCCTCCCCTCCAGACACTCCCGATGGTTAATTAAAATCCCAGCAGAGGCCCGGGGTGAGTGCAGGGGCTCAGGGATCACCTGTGGAGGGGGAGATAAACTCTTCCAATGAAAGAAGGACCTGGAGCCAGTCCACAGGAGGCCACGGAGCTGCTCCAAGAGCCAGAGCCCCTCTGTTCTGGAGCCAGGCTGGGAGAGCTGGGGGGGCTCACCTGGAGAAGCTGCAGGGAGAGCTCAGAGCCCCTTCAGGGCCTGAGGGGCTCCAGGAGAGCTGGAGAGGGACTGGGGACAAGGCCTGGAGGGACAGGACACAGGGAATGGCTCCCAGTGCCAGAGGGCAGGGCTGGATGGGATAGTGGGAAGGGATTCTTTCCTGTGAATTTTCCCTGATGACACAGGTTATCGGCTGGAAAGGGTTTCCTCTACACCTGTTTCATTCCTCGACTGCCATCACAAGGAGCCTGTGAGACCCCTGGAACCAGCTGCCTGGAGGAGACACTTGGATTTACCTAAATATAGCATTATTTCATCAATCATTTTAAGCCAGTTGTAATTAATGTGAAATGAATGCAAAGAATGTGCTCTTTGCTTAATCACAGAGTTGGAATAATGCACTGGCACAGCTGCAAGCACGGAACAGATGCAGAAATATTTGGGAGGTGTGAGAGAGCCTGGCAGCTCCAGGAGCATCCCTGAGCACCCACATCACCCCTCTGAACGCTGTCCTCTGCTCTCCTCACAGATTCCCAGCACAGAGAGGCCCCAGGGCCCAGACGAGTCCCTGGCACCAGAGGTTTGTGTGGGACGAGGAGCGCGACCGGGGCACCCCGAGCCCCACGGGGACACAACCCTTTGCCACAAGATGCTTTTCCCATCCCTGCTGCAGTCTGTGGTCGGGGCCAGCAGCTGCTGAGATGGCACAGAGCGCTGAGCTGCAGCCGAGCTTCCAGGACCTGTTCAATATTCTGTCCCAGGCCCCACCAGAGAAACTGCTGAGCCTCAAACTCAAACTGAAGCGCTTCACACCTGGGCCCTGCAGCAAGTTACTGCAGGCTATGGTCCTGCTTACTCTGGGGCAAGAAACGGATGCAAGAATTTGTCTGGATGACTTGAGGGATACCCAGGCAGCCCAGTACATCCACCAGATCAAACTGGGCGCTGCAGGAGCGCGGGAGGACGGGGAGGATTTGCAGCCTCCCCAGCTGGATGCAGGTGCCGTGGCACTGCTGGCACAGGCGTACGCGGTGCTGGCACAGGAAAAGCTGTGCAGTCCCGAGGCCAGGGACAAAGCCTGCCAGGCTGCTCAGCGGGGTCCACTCAACAGCATCCCAGCCGAGGAACAGGACAAACAGGGCTCTGCAGCCAGCAGGGGCTCAGGGGACAGGCTCTGGACGCTGAGGTCCCATGAGGACGCAGGATTTCCCCACACAGCCAGCTCCCACCACGTGGCGAGGAGTTCACCACTGCAGATTGGAGGCAACTCAGACTTTTCAGGCCCACGGACCTTGTGCTCTGTGGGGAGCTCCTCCCTGTCCAGCTGTCTGGAGATCAGTGCATCACCAACAGGTGTTTTTCACACCCAGCCCTGTGTCCCCGAGTGTGTGCCCTGGTCCAGCCGTGCTGGACACCGTGACAGGGACGCACAGAGCCACGGCCCGCAGGAATCCAGCTGGCCCAGCACAGCCAGCCCCTGCCCTGGGCAGGACACAGCTGCACAGGGGCCCCAGCCAGAGGAGGCTCTGCAGGTCAGTCCCTGCCATCCCACCCCTCTCCCCATTCCGGAGACGCCGCTGCCCTCGGAGCCTGCCCAAAGCAGAGATGTGTCCAGCACAGTGACAGAGCCTCACACACCAAGAGAAAAGCAGGATGAAAAGCGATTATCTACTGGTGTCCCTGACCCAAGGGCTGCAGTGGATACTGCTCCTTCCCACGAGTCCATACAGGATTCCTACATTCCAGCAGGCATTCCCTGTAACTCTGCACCTGCTTCTACTTCAACCTGTTCCCTTCCTCCTCCCACCTATTCCATATCCTCAACCCTTCCTCCTCTTCAGGAATCTCACTCCAACCTATTCCATACCCCTCCCCTGCACTCATCCCTCTCTCCAGCCCGGCCTCCTGCTCTCTCAGCTGTGGATCCATCAGAGCCAGATGGTGCCAAGTTCTTCACGTTTGTTGTCCTGCACGCCAGTGAAGATGAGATTGTGGCCCACCGGGTCAAGAACCTGCTGGAGAGCATGGGGGTGTCCAACGGTGCCACGCTCAGTGAGGATTTCTTCATCGCCGGACGCAGCCACATGATTTGCTTCCAGGAGGCCATGGAAAACTCTGCCTTCATGATCCTCCTGCTTACCAAGAACTTCCCCTGCAACCTGTGTCTGTTCCAGACAGACACTGCTCTCATGCAGTCCATTCTGGACCCCTCCAAGCAAGACTCGGTCATCCCGTTTCTACCCAAGGCAAACGCCCTGGAGTGCAGCCGGATCCCCACAATGCTCAGTGTGCTCGTCACCCTCAACGAGAGCTCTCCCCTCTTCTCCAGGAATGTGCACAAGACTTTTAACCCCAAGAAGATCAGGGAGAAGAAAGCCCTGTGGGACCAGATGCAGAGAAGGAAGCTCCAGGCCCGTTGGGAACGGCACCAAGCCCTGCAGAACTTGGCTGCCCTGAGCCTGGGCTCCCCTCCCTGGGTGCCTCCAGCAGTGCCCCAGCCGTGGCCAGCAGAGCCAGCAGCCCAGCACTGGTGTCCCCCTGCCCCCATGGAGCTCCCTGCTCAGCAGGGCCCTCCCCCTTCCCAAGCACAGCTCCCCCCAGGGCACTACAACATCACGCCAGGCCCCGGGGGGACCCCAGCCCTCATCATCCAACACGCCCGCATGGTCCAGATCGGGAACCACAACGTGATGCAGGTGGAAACTGCCCCACCTGGGCCAGGGGACAGCCAGGAGCAAACCAGGCACAACGTCTGACCTGGCAGCCAAGGTCACAGACAAAATTCATTTCAAATCCTGGATTAGAATGATTCTGTTGGGACTGGGACTATCATTCTATGCATCAAGAGTACCATCTTCCTGAAGCACAAACTCAAATTCTTCATCTTTTGTTGGAAAAGAGATGTGGTGATCTCTTGGAACCACTTTTCCTTATTTTCAAGTAACTGAGAAAATTATTTTCCTGATTGTCTGGAATTACTTGAAGATTTTATAAATAAATTGCAATTAATTTATTTGTGTTCCTCTGGTTCTTTCCTGTAGAATTAGAAAAAGGATAGTCAAGGGCTAAGTGGAAAACTATTCTGCATGTTGGCTGGGAGATGGCACTGACCAAATTATTTGAGGGACAGTCTGCAAGGGATTCTTTGGGAAGATGCCTTTAAGGAAAAAGCGAAAACCCAAAAGCAGTGAGCAGAGTAGTGCAGAGGGATGGAGAAACCCAGGAATGGGGAGTGGGAAGGGTAATTTTGCAATGAGCAAGGGCTGTAGCAGGCTGGTACCGACTGAGCTTTGACAGCAGGAGGGCACCTGGAGCAAAGGCCTCGCTCCTCCCAGGCTCCAGGCACAGCCATTTTCCTGATCGTCAGCAGAGGTCACCCCAAAGCCACCCAGGGCCTGCAAATGGGGCTGTTCCCTCCCAGAGCAGAGCCCGGAGCCTGTGCCGGAGCAGGGCAGAGCTCACAGGCTCCTGAGGAGCCGCTCCCGGTGCTCAGCACAGGAACTGACCCCATTCCAGGTGTTCTGCAGCTCTGTGTGTGCTCAGCTCACTCCCTGGCTTCCCCAGCAGGCTCCAGGAGGATCTGAGCCCATCCCGGCCCTGGGCCTGCGCTCTCAGCCTCATTCCAGACCCCAGCCTTTGTCCAAGAGCCCCAAGCCAACCCCTGAGTGAGACAGACGTCACCAAATTCTGAGGAGACTCTGAGCTGCCCCCAGCTCTTGGCTTCCAGCTCTCAGATTGGATTTTCACTCTGCAGGACCCAGTGACAATGGATTGACTCATCTACTCCTTCCAGAGCCTGCTGGCATCCTCCAAGTGCTCCAATTCCTTTTATTTTCCCGGTTTCTCTCCTCCACAGCACCATTAAGAGGTGCTGTGTTACTGCAATTCCTGTCCCCTGCAGCTGGTGCAGGACAGTCCCTCCCCTCGGGAGCACTCACACATCCCTCCTCTCCTGCTATAAATAATCATGCCAAATTAGTCAACTGGAAGCTGCTCCAGCTTGTAAACAACCTCAGCACAGCCACATCCAGCGTGCTTGGATCACACAAAGGAGAGGGAGAGCTGTGTCTGGGCTACAGGAGGGTCTGCAGCCACCACAGTGGAGAAAAAACTCCTCTCTGCCCAAGAATTAACAAAATAATCACTGAAACATTGCCCTGCTCCCCACAGCTCCATGTTTTGCCTACATGGAGCTGGCCCTACAGTCAATCAGGCCTGTTCAGTGTAATTACCCCTAAATCATGCATTTTTCTCACCCTGTAATTACTATCAACATTTAATTGCTGGGCCCTCTATGTAATTACAGATTATTTATGTGTTTAAAAAAAACTGAAGCCTTTTCCATCACACAGAATATTCTTCTCCTTGGGGCTGCTGCACCTGACTGGATCCCCCAGCTCCCTGACCACAAGAGCCCAGCTCCAGAGTTGCTCCTGCCTGGATTAACTCCCTTCCCACCTCTCTCCTGCCAGCAGCCCTGGCTGCAGATGGAACTGCCCTGACCAGCCTGAGACCACCTGGCTCCTGGCTGGCAGCTCTCTCCTCACACACCTGGACAGCACCTGCAGCAATGTCTGCGTGGGAGAAGCACAGGCTCTGCAGACACTGCTTAAATGGAATTTCCAGCACAAGGGCACCACCATTCCTCCAGGCATCAAGAATAAGGATGGAGCAATTAATGACAGGACAAACGTTCGAATATTTTATCCACCCACTCTCCTTGGGGGAGACCAAGCATTTTTGGGATCCAGGTTCCTGTGTGGAACTAACTCCAGTACCATTAATTCCTCTGTTTTTATTGTCCCTGATGGATTTGGGTTTGGAAACCAAACTGTTGACATTGTGTCGCTCTTTCTGCTCGCTGCATCCATTGTCCCACGTGTGTAAGACAAGTAAACACTGTTTGATTTGCATCCAAACATAAAGCAAAACATAGAAGAGGTGTAATTTCAGTGTCAGTGTTACTCTTTTCCCAGGGAGATGTTTGCCACTGCAGCACAGATTGGTTTTTTCAGGTTTTTACAGGAGTAACCATGAAATGAACCAATAACCAATTGCCTGTTAATTGCAAACACCCCAGAATTCCATACCCAGTGTCCCATCCCTGAGAAACAAACTGAAAACAGAGGAAAACATCTGAATAGAGAGGCTTATCAGGAAGAAGTCCAAGGCACTTGCATTCTAGCAGCCATTTTTTGTTTTATTATTTAAAGTTAAGAGCGCTCATCAGCTCACAAAGGAACAAATCCCATTCCTGCAGTTTAGTTCAGGTTTCAGCCAAAAGGAAAAAAAAAAATAGAAGGCAGCTAAACTAACTCTGCACTTTACAGCTCAATTCAAGTTAAACTTCCTCGCTTTATAAATAAACGTTATAGTTAACACTGCAAAATGTACTGGCAGATCTACAATATCTTGAAGGGGCAGAGCGTGGTTATTGAGGCTGATAAATACGAGAAGCTTCAGTAGCACAGAGAGCGAGGGTGGGGCCAGGGGTCTGCTCTCCCAGGTGGGACCTTTCCCAGAGCTCCAGGCAGCTGCTTCCCTCCTCAGCTGTGCTCCCCACCCTGCTCAGGGCCAGGGAAGGAGCCACGGGCTGCCCACCACCCCCTGCACAAGGACAAACTGCTGGAAACTCTTTGTTTTCCACCACGGAGGGTTCTGCTCATGCTCAAAAACCTGCCCTGAGACTACAGAGTTAAAAACAAGGTGGGTGCAGATCCTCATCAAAGGAAGGAGCTTGCCCAAACAGCAGCCAGGTGAGATTTCAAATTCCACCTTGGAAGTAGCACCATCCTCAGTGAAGTTACAAAAAAAATTAAAAAGGAAAAAAAAAGAAGACTCAGAAGCCCAAACCAGCTGCTAAGAACCCACTGCATGAGGTTTCAGAATGGGGCAGTAACAGAGCCCAAGCAGGTGATACCAAAACCTCAGAAGGACAAGGAGGCACCTTAAACTTTCATTTCTTGCTTCTTCCTTCAGCCCACCCTGGTGCAAACCCACCACAGACACTCACTTGCTTTCATAACCCACTCCAAGCACCTCCACACTGCAGGTACCTCCTGGCCTAAAGGGCTTGCAAGAGCTCAGCCTCGAAAATAGTTCAGAATGTGCTGTTTTGGCTCCCAAACCATCCACATTCACCCTTCCAGCTCAGTCCCTGCTGCCCTCTGGAGCCAAAGAACATCACGCTGGGAATGGAGCGAATGGGTGTGGAATGGACAAGCCAAGGGCCTGAACACCACATCAGGATTTTGTTCTTAAAGTAGGTTTTTTCCTCCCCATTCATAAACTACAACATCTATGGATCAAACTGTATAACCAGAACTGACCTTCCTCTATCCTACAGGATTGGAGAAGTCTTGCAGCATAGATAGGGCCTGGCTCTACGAGAGAAAAAACATCCCAGCTTTATGCACAATCATGGAAATCTCAGGCCTTTAACACCATTTGCTACTTGGCCAACTAAGAGAGAGACAAACCCCATCCTCAGCACACCCAGCCCTGTGCCATCCCTGGGCAGAGCTCGAGCCCCTCGGCTGTTGGGCATGGGCTGTCCCAAACCTGACAGGAGAGAGGGGAAGGGATTAGCTGAAGGGTATTTTATTCCTCACTCACTTTCTATCTGTTGGGTGTGTGGGGTGGGAAGGGCCAGAGCACGTGGGGGATGTGTAGCTGCTCCAAAGTTGAACACTGAGTTAATCCAGCACTAACAGGAGAGGCAGCAGGTCCCAGGGAATCTCCATCTCCTCTTCTCAGGACACGATGGTGGCTGTGACCTTCTGTGGACAGACTGCACTGGAGAGAGCTGGTACCTGAAGGTGGCAACGAGGGACAGCCATGAGCTCTGGGGCCTCCTCCTCCCCTGCCCCGACACGCCAGCTGGGTGGTGACAGATGGGGACAAAGCTCAGCACAGCGACGGCCCTGGGCACTTTGGCACAGCCAGCCCGAGCCCTCCAACTGCACAACCTCAGCGGGGTGGGACAGGCTGGGGACCGTGGCTGTCGCGCCCTAGTGCAGCTCAATGAAGGCTTCCAGCTCCTCAGGGATGAATCCCTTGTAGGGAATCTTGTGCTTGTCCAGGGCTCGAGCAGCAAGGCACTGGAGGGTGATGTAGTTGAAGGGCTGCATGGTGCTCTTGGTGAGCAGCTTCTCGTCCAGCAGCTCGTAGGCCGTCTGCTTGAAGGCGTTGGTGGCGTCCATGTGCGCCCCGGCCTCCATCAGGGCGCTCATGATCAGCGGGCAGTTGTTGCGGGCGGCCACGTGCAGGGGGGTGTTGTTGTCATAGTCCCGGCTGTCCGGGTCTGCCCCGCACTCCAGCAGCAAGTTCACCACGTGCAGCGACGGGAATTTGCCCACGGGGTAACGCCCCACCGTCGTGGTGTCTTTGTCCACGGCCATGTGCAGGAGCGTGAAGCCGTTCTTGGCGCGGGGGCTGCACTTGAGCAGGCGGTAGATGGTCTGGCGCTTCTGGTGCTCCTGCTCCGGGGTGCACTCCACCTTCTCCAGCAGGAAAACCAGGTGCAGGATGATGGCCAACGTCTTGGTGAACTGCGCCGAGTCGGCCACGGGGTCCTTGCCGTGCACCAGGGCCCTCTCCACCTCCCGAACCCCTTTGCTCAGCACCCCGATGAGGTCGGAGAAGCCCAGGTGGGTGGCTAAAGTGCCTTTGGAACGGTCCTGGAGCACGTAGGAGTAAAGCTCGGCAAAGGAAAGAAAACTGCTGGCAGTCATGGGGCTGAGGGGCTCCAGGTTGCCTTGCTGCATGTCCAGGGCGTACTTCCACAGGTTAATGCAGCGTTCGAAGTTGCCGGAGTCGGCGTAGACGGCCCCGCGGTAACGGATGTAATAGGAGGTGTCGGGGTGGGAAGGGCCCAGGATGCGCTCCCGAATCAGCAGTGCCTGCATGCGCATCTCGTCGGGGTCCGTGATCAGGGCTTCCAGCTCCTCCAGAGAGCTCACCTCC